AAATTTGAAGACTAGGGTTTTTTAAGGATAATTTGGTGGGTAGGGGGCTGGGGAGTAGGGAGTGCTGATCGGGTCAGAGATGAAATTATAGGAGCTCAAACAGGTTCTTCTTGTTGTCTTCTGTTCCTGGGTGGGGTTGCAGAACTACTTGAGCCAGATTACTGGTCTGGGTGGCACCAGTTGGTCTATCAGAATGGAGGGTCTGAAAATACCTCAAACACCAGTGTTAGGTTTTACAATAGTGCTGTTATCTATAAGAGCGATTTGTAGAGGTTATGGATCNGCAATTGAGGAGGTTGGGGATCTTGTGGCCTCTGCCTGCATGACCCCTAAACCATAATTTCTAATCTTGTGGCTAATTTGTTAGTTTTCTAAAGGCAGTCTGGTCCACAGGCAAGGAGGGGTTTTGTTTCAGGAAAGAGCTGCTATCATCTTTGTTTCAAAGTTGAACTATAAACTGAATTTCTCCTACACTTAGTTTGGCTATGCCCAGGAATGAACAAGGGCAGTTTAGAGATTAGAAGCAAGATAAATCAGATATCTTTCACTGTCATAATTTGCTCACTGTTGTAATTTTTGCAAAGGTGGTTTCATAATGACACAAACGGAGGGTCTTTTCCTACAAAATATATGCTCTTAACCACATTAGACTGTAGAATACCTTCCTGTCTCACCTGTCCTCTGTGTACAATTTACATAGGTAAAAAGTCCAGCACATGCTGGGGAATTTAATGGTTTTTCTAGCTAGCAAGTGCCCAAGTCAGATGCCTGGGCCTCTAAACTCTTCTCTCCCAAGGGTCTCAAATACAGCTGTACCTACAGGCCAGGGAGTAATGAGAATGAGAGAGGCTGGGCATGTCTGAGGGAAATGGGAACAGTAGGAATGGTGGGCCTATCTAAAGGGGCAGCACTTTCTCCCACCCAGCATCTTGTTGCCTGGTGGGATTGTGTGCCCATCATGGCCAGGGTCTCTCACTGTCATAAGTTAAACTGGCAATGTGGATTTTTATGTGAAATTGTCCAGCTTTAAATATTGGCAACTAATTAAAAAATGTGTTTAGTACTATGTGGATCAACACTGTGTGGGTGAATCACAACACACCTGAAGACCTGGCTGGGTGCAGTGGCTCACACCTATAATTCCAGCACTTTGGGAGGCCGAGGCAGGCAGATCACCTGAGTCCAGGAGTTTGAGGCCAGCCTGGGTAGCGTGGTGAAACAAAATATGCAAAAAATACAAAACTTAGCCAGGTGTGGTGGTACGCGCTTGTAGTTTTCGCTACTCAGGTGGCTGAGGCAGGAGGGTTGCTTGGGGCCAAGAAGTCGAGGCTGCAATGAACCTTGATCGCGCCACTGCACTCCAGCCTGGGTGACAAAGTGAGACCCTGTGTCAAAAACAAAAACACAACTGAAGACCGATTCTGTCCCCACCTTCCTTCCCTTGCAGCCCTATTGGTGATATTCCTCTCTGCCCTGCTAATCACCTTTGGAGGAGACACACAGTAAGGGTTCAGGAAATATTGTGAGGAAAGAGAAGCTGGCTTTTTCCTCTGCCCTGGTCTCTTGACTTGAGACCAGAACTTCAATTTCATTAAACAGATTGGATTCAATGTTTGCCAAAACTATGCTTAAAATACAGCATAGAAAAGATTTTTGGAAGATATTTTTTTTCAGTGTACTTTAGTACTGTCCTGTTCACTTAGTGAATCATGTGATCTTATTCTGTGTACCTCACTTGTCTTCCAAAGAGAAGTAATTATTGACATCTTCACTAACCTTTTGCAATAACTTTTGTTTTTTTGAGATGGAGTCTTGCTCTGTTGCCCAGGTTGGAGTGCAATGGCATGATCTTGGCTTACTGCAACCTCCACCTCCCGGGTTCAAGTGATTCTACTGCCTCAGCCTCCCGAGTAGCTGGGATTACAGGCGCCCGCCACCATGCCTGGCTACATTTTTATTTTTAGTAGAGACAGAGTTGTACCATATTGGTCAGGCTGGTCTCGAACTCCTCAACTCAGGTGATTCACCTGCCTCAGCCTCCCAAAGTGCTGGGATTACAGGCATGAGCCACCATGCCTGGCCTGCAAAACCTTTTCATGGAGAAAATTATGTAAGAATTTTTAAAAAGCTGGTAAGACACATAGCAGAGGCCGGGCCATGTTGGTTCACACTTATAATCCCAGCACTTTGGGAAACCAAGGCTGGAGGATCACTTAAGCTCAGGAGTCTGAGAACAGCCTGAGTAATATAGTGAGACCCCATCTCTACAAAAAGTACAAAAATTAGGCTAGCTTGCTGGTGTGTCCTGTAGTCCCAGCTAGTTGGGAAGCCAAGGTGGAAGGAATGCTTGAGCCTGGGAGGTTGAGGATGTAGTGAGCCAAGGCAGCGCCACTGCACGCTGGCGTGGGCGACAGGGTAAGACCCTTTCTCAAAACAAACAAAGATACAGAGAAGACCATTGCATGACATATCCAGTATATTTGGATCTTCAGATTGCTGTACTTGATCATTTGTGTACCTAAAATTCAATTAATGATGCAATAAACTGTAAAAATTATTAATAGGGATGGTATAGATGGCTTTTGTGTTGCTGTGTTGGTTTCATTATGTACAGCCATTACCAAGGTCTGATCAGATGGAAGAAATGGAGAACTAACATGCCTTGGCAAATTAAAGGCAAAAGAAAAATCAACATAACCCAAGGTGGTATCTGGGCCAGGTGCAGTGGCCCAATCGCCTGTAATCCCATCATTTTGGGAGGCTGAGGTGGGTGGATCTCTTGAGCTCAGGAGTTCAAGACAAACCTGAGCAACATGGCAAAACCCTATCTCTACAAAAAA